CGGCCTTTGTATTAGCACAGCAGGTGAAGGTGGGGTTCGGAGACGGGGCTGCCTGGTCTGTTTTCGGCGTCTGCGGTGCTGACCGTTGAAATGCATGTGTTCCTCGTGGGAGAAAACGCTCCGAGTCCGTATGGGGGGGGCTGGGATCAAACCAGGGCAGCAGACAACAGGTACAATTCTCGGTCTCACTGGTCTTTGCTGCCGCAGAGCCGACGGGCACGGCGGTGACATTGCTAATTCGGAGTTTCAGGCGGCCCCAGCCCTCCCGGTAAGGGCGGATGGGAAACCGGGTTCGCTGTCTGTTTATTTTTTCGGAGAAGGGTTGAGGGGTGGGGTCCGCCGTGTCCCAGGGGCGGCTGAAAGGAAAGGTGGCGAAAAGTTTCCTGGGGGAGTTTTGCTGAGGGCAGCAAAGCAAGGCCGGAGGTTCACGCGCGGCCCCCGAATTTCACCGGGCACAGCGCTCCTCGCCCATCTTCTAAATAAGAGCTCCTGGAGTTTCCATGGCAACGGTTCAGCTTGTCAGCGTGCAGGCACCTCAGATACTTTATGGAAAGTTTCGGAAGTCGGTGACTTGGAATAAAAACTTTGAAGAGCCCGAGACGAGCCACGTTCAGGCCGTTGTGCTAATAGGATCTTGTCCGCACCCGGGGCCTGGGGGGCCCTGGGATTCCTCGCTCCTGCCTCTCCATAGAAAACCACTTATGTTTAAATCATCGGCATCCTGACTGGGTCCTTTGAGAAACATCCACCAAACGACTAAAATAGACGTTATTTGGAGGGAAAACCAGGGGGAGCGGGAGAACTGCACAGGCTCGACCGGGGAGATGAGGTCTTTGTAATTTCATCGACGGTGGCGCCGGGGCCAAGGTCTTCCTCAAAGGGCCGGCCGTATGTTGAGTCTGGAACGGCTTCTTCCGAGCAATTTTCATGTATCGGATGGGCCCGCTCATCATCTCTTTTACTGTGGCTGTTAAAGGCTCACCGCTTGCATGCATGTGTTTTATAACAAACAGGATATTCAAGCCACTGCGCCCCACCCCTCGGTGCCCCCCAGGGGTAAACGCACAGATTTACAAAGCAGACACCCACGGGCCAAGCGCCGGCAGGGTTCGGAACAGAAACACGGAGTCATTTCATGGCTGGGGCTTCAGCGACTTTTCAGAGCAGGAGCCGGGTCTGTGCAGCCCAGAGATTTCAAATGCGGGAACCCACCCGTTTGTGCCCAGGGCTCCCTGGGGGGCTCTAGGGTGCGTCTCCACCTCTCAGCACAAAGCCGGGGCCTGTAAACTGCCGCACCGGCTCCTCCCTCCGCTGGTTTGGAAGGAACAGCCTGGACCGCGGTCTGAGAATTCTCCGCGGAACTTTCCTTCACAGGAACAAATCCACTTTGTCATTTAGAAAATTATTGCATTTTTGCTCTAAGCTTGGTAAAAAAAAAAAAAAAAAAAAAAACAATTATCTTGTGAAAAGAATGTGAAGTTGTTTGCATAGTTTTTGTTTTTATGGACAAATGGAAAGTCTCTGGTATAAAAGTAAATTTGTCCCCTTTTAGTTCCCTTTGTAGGAGGAGGTTATACGGTATTTGTTGGTCACCAATGTATTTCTTCTAACGTCACATGAATCAGAGGTGCAGTAGCGTAAGGTGTGCTCATTAATAGCAACTCAGACTAAACACAGAAATTCAAAAAAAATCTCGTCACCCGTAAGCAACAAGCAGGACGTTTGGAGACTGTCGTTGGAGACATCCTGCGGCCAGATTCAAAATATGAAAAGTGCGGGTGTGTTTGTATGAAAGAGACCGAGAGCGAATCTTTAGGAAGAGCGGTTTCCTACCATGCAGGTTTTTTTTTTTTTTTTTTTCTTCCAAATAAGTATTTAGATGATATGATCAGTGACGGATAGGCAGACAGATGTCCTTTCAAATGAATGAAAACCTTCCCTGCTTTTTAAAAAAAAATGTTGAATTTACTTTTCGATTTGGGTGAAACAGGGAAAGAAGGTCTGACATAAAACTGAAGAAATTGCTGGGTTTCAGGTGTTTGTTTCTCGCAAGGATGTTACTTTCAGAAAATAGCGCGAGCGTCAAGAACACCTATAAAAATGTTCATAGTTAGGAGCCAACTTCAGGATGCACGTTTGAGTATTGAACAGTCTCTCAGAGTCCTGGCGACGAAGGGTGAGTGAGTGGGCGCAGGGGACGCGGTCGCCTCCCGCCGGGTCCCCCCAGCGCCTGACGCTGATCATGGGCTTTACACCGTTGGGATCTGCAGCGTTTACCTTCCGGCTTAATCCCCAGAGTCTTGGTTTCTACTTATTTCAAATTTTAAAGGATTCAGGCCTTACCCACAGGCTTTCGCTGCTCAGCTCGCACCCCTAGGTCTCTGTTTGAGGTGTTTCCGCAGATGCTGAATTCCAGTGCGCCGTGTCCCACCGCCGAGGGAACAGCCTTGGCGCCGTTTCCGGCTGCGGGCAGAGCACTTTCCTGCTTTTCCTTCCGTGTGGGGGGCGAGTAATCTTTCTCGAGTCAAACCTGTTTCCTTCAGGAATGAGCGAATGCCTGTGGGCGGCGACGGGCCCTCCCACGATGAATGTTACCGTGCGGGGGTCCAGTCGCGTCTAGAATCCCCTTCCTCGGACGAAACTTGCTTTTCCCCTGACGGCTCTGTGTTGGAGTTTTGCCGGAATACGCCGTGGAGTGAGTCGGGCCTCACCAGCGTTTCCTGAAGAGGGAACAGCCCGCTGACCCTTGTATTTCCAAAGCGTGTGGTTAGCCGCAGGGCCGAGTCCCCTGGGGGCGGGGGGGCTGTCTTTACGCTGCGGGGCCGCCCGCGATGGGCGCGCTGGGCCCGGCGGTCTGTCGCCGCATCCTTCCCGGCCGCGGCTCTATTGTTGGGCCTACGCTTCCCAGTTCATCCTGGTCGGTCCCCGAGGCTGACCCCCACTCCCCAGCGGTGACTCCCAACCTTAAGTTCTCTCCTCCCCTCTCCCAGCATCTCCAGCTCTTGATTCTCTCAGAAACATGCCCGGGAAGCGGGTGTTTCGGGGACAGTGAATCTCCGAGACGGCGGTTACCTAAGCTCTCCCCCCACTTGGGGCTGATTCTTCTCGAGATTCGTTTTTTAACTGCATTTTTCTTTGCTTTAGTGCCCCTTTCATTTCACTTTTCTCTCTAGATAAATATAAGGGGTGTAAGGCCAGCGCAGGACACGCGGGGGCACGGAAACGGCTTTGTGCGATGCTGTGACGCCGGCGCCTGTCAGTGCACGTTCGCCGGGACAGCACCGGAGTGATCCTCGCTGTAAACGAGGGACCTGGGGTGACAGCGACGCCCCCTCGGGGGCGCTGCCGGTGGCGGAGCTGCGCCGTCCCGGAGCCGGCAGGTGGGCTGCGCTGTGCCCTCCCGGCGGCGAGAGAAAGACCGAGACCCTGACTGCGTCCCTGGTCCCTCGGACAGGGGCTGTCTCGAACTCGGGGCTGTGGGGGCGCTTGGGGGGGCCACTCACACGTTCCGTTGAAGTCGGAGGTTTCGCTCTGCTCGGTACCCACTCTCCACCACCTTTTCCTTTCTCCGCCATTTCTACGGAACAAGAGAGGAATTAAAATCTTTTTATTTAATGAGCTTCAAGTAAAAACCTTTCAGGTTGGCAGAATTCTTTTCAACGGACGTTTCACTTGAAAATTAAATTTTCCTCCCTGTTTGCGTGGACAAGAGCAGCGGCAGGAGGCGGAGCGTGAGTTTGTGCGCTCGGAATTCCAGCAATACGTGTTTGTGGGGGACGCGCGACGGGACATAGGGAGAGGACGGTCACGGGACGTCCTCTGGGTCTCTGATGAGCCTGTAGGATGGAGTCTAATTAATTCTGTCACAATAAACCCTCAGGGAATTTACAATGAAATTGGGCCCTGGGAGCATAAATCGAATTCAGCAGCCTCGAAGGTTTTACAGCAGTCGGGTGGGTATGAAGCGGATGCCCAATGGGTTTCTAATTAAATAAATAGAAGGGTTCTGTGCCCTGTGACACTCAGAACATGGCCCTGCCGTGAGAACCGGTTCTGCGCCCTGAGTGCGAATGAGGCCAGAGGTCCAGGTCTGGGGCAGGCGGCTCCTCCTGTCAGGCGCAGACTCGCCCTGTGGCCTGAAGCACGTGGCGTGGCCTCGCCGGGCCTCAGTTTCCCCTTCACAGTGGAGAGAGGAACAGCGCCGACTTCTCGTATCAGCAACAGGACTCAATGGGTTAACAGGTGACAACACCTGGGAAGAAAGCCTGGCGGTGAACAAGCCCCTTTGTATTAGCAGTTAAATCACCTTTAGTGTTGCTGCTTGTGACTGGTGCCGGGTTGGTCTACGAGCCTGGGGATCCACTGGGAAAAAACGAACAGAAAACAATGGAAAAAATGAAAATGATCGTCCTCATATAATTAATGACATTGGGGTCCAGTAGAGAATTAAATTTGGACGTGTGAGTCACGACTGGTGGGGTAACAGAGCTCAGAGGACACCGTGAAGTGACTTAGAGGTGCTGGTGCTGAGTCCACGGAGATGAAACAGACGCGGTGTCGCTGCAGCACCAGGCGATCGGACCTGCTCAAGGAAAGGGGCTTAGCCCGGCCGGTGTGGCTCAGCGGTTGAGCTCTGTCCCCGTGCACCAGGAGGTCAGGGTCCCCGTGCACCAGGT